CATAGTTATTATATATGTATAAAAACTATTCAAGTCAAATCAAGTCAAAATACAAAACTATGTTTTGAAACATTTTAAATAAAGTGTGAGAATGTAGTTTTCAATTTTATGTTTCTTTTTGTTCATTTTTAATGAGTTTTGAGTTTTTGTTCTAGTCTTGTTTCTAATCATAATTTCATTGCCCTTTCTACCCAACATGGCTAAAAATTCTATTAATTTTGAGAACTGATTTGATTGGTAATATGTACAGTTTAGAATGTTAATAATCCACAGAAAAATCCACTGTTGAGCTACATCCTTTCAGAATTTATGAACTGTGAAGCTTATTCTCAAATACAAATAGCAGATCGTTAAAAATTTTAATTTGCAACATATATGGTAACATTATTTATCAAGCATAACGACTCATATAAAGTTAGTCTTCCAATGTGCTTCAAGCATTCAATAGATTAGAAAAGAAATCCCCAGACACCACAAAGGACTTAACTCTAACTACACTTGGCTCAGGTTAGCAGAGTAAATGAGTGATAGACTCCCTCTGGTAAAGACAATGAACGAGGAAGAAGTTGCCAATGAACCTTGACTTTTTCTCACCTTGCTTAGGTTACTATAAAGCAAATTCACGCTCCAGCGCATGACTTATAAAAGATGGAAATGCACCACATACCTAGAATCAACTCCTCATTACTTTGCAAACAAATCTGAATGGCTAAATACTAATATCTCATTTTTATAAGTAAATACACACTTTACTAGAATAAATGGGTATCAGTTCAAGTTCATTGACAGAATACTACCTACTGCCTAAAAAACATTTTGGTATTGAGATTTATTACCAAAAATCATTTGATGCAGTTTTGCATAAGAGTAAAATTCCTGTTCTTAGTGGGAAAGATAAATCGCAAACCTTTTTATTACATATACAGATATATTGACTGTCATTGTAAAACTGACTGAAGAGATAGCCATTAAGCCTCACTGTATTTCTTAATGTCCCTTAAGTTCTATCATAAATTAAGATCATGACATTATGAGAGTATTTATAGAGTTAATACTTTCCAGTTCTCATCTGGGTCTATTCATTTTTTAAGTTCCCTGCCAGTACATGGAAGAGGCTGATTTGGAATTTGAGAAAACATCCAGAGACTTCTTCGAAAAGCTTTACTTTTCCTAAATTCATACTTCTTTTATTAGCAGATGTAAATTTGAAGGGGAAATACCATATACCTTAAGCCGTTTGGGACTAGTCTGACTCTTAAGGATGACTTACAATTTTCATTTGAATGGAAGAGATGCTGAGAGCTTCAGCTCAAAACTCATCTGTGCTCTAGCCCTGAATCATTCCTTCAGTGAACTCTGCAGGCATTTTATGACAAACATACACATGTGTATGAAGTATGTGACCTCATTGGCAGATATCTGTAGTGTCAAGAGCTATTGGCAGATACCCAAGAATTGATTGACATATATCTTACAGAACTGGAGTTAATTAATATGTCTACCAATTCCCCAATGTACCACAGGAAACAGAAAATCTGTTTAATACAGCAATCAATGACATACTGTGTGTGGTCAAAGGCATTCACTATAGAGTAAGACTAGGTTTTTGGAAGACTGTATTCAAGAATCTATATGCTGCTATTAAAATGCTAGAAAGTAAAAGAAGTCATTTTTCATAAATGAAAGAATAGACTAGGAGATATTTGGCATATTGTTTTATCATTACTTAAAAGCAAGTGGTAATTTTCTCTTATAAGATCTGAAGCTATAAAATGATGAATGGAGCCCTGATTTACTTCAAAAATAATGTCTTTACTTTTGTGGCATTTTGCCATCTAGAATGATAAATCCATAATGTTATTTTCTATCACTAAAGTTTTAAAAATCTTAGAAATTCAATGTAAGACAATGAAGTGTTTTAAAGGAAGAACACTGCTAAGAAAAAGGTGATTGTTAAAATATTGATGAAAGTCTTGAGAAAGCAAAAATCAAAATGTCTTATTTTTTCCTACAAAAATCATTTATAATAGCAAAAGACTGGACCATCTTTTGAAAAGAACATTATATTCTATTATTTCATGTAATTTGGGGCAGGAATTTGCAGAGTATATATGCACTTTCTAAATGACAATTAAGACAAAGGATTCTCTATCTAAAAAGTTACCCAAGTAAAAATATAAGTTGGTAGATCTGAATTTCCCAAGAGTTATTAACTAAAATCCCCCCCAAAACAGCTTCTGTCTTAATTTCTCTTTTCTTTCATACTCTTCTAAGATTTCCATTATTGCCATTCTTTTTCTAGCTGTATAAAGTACATACTGTCTATTTTACTCAACTTCACAAACAGCATAATCGGTTAAAGCCAAGGGTAGTATTTTAAGTACTAGTATAGATCAATTTAAAGCAGATTGTCTCAGAAGGCAGTTTAAGCATTGAAAATTAAATTTGATGTAGTCTAGACAAGCTATCTTGATAATATCTTTTCCAGAGTTTCGTAGATTGCCTGTCTAGACTGCTCTAAGTTCCCCAGGTAATTGCATAATCATCTTCTCTCTGACCTCCTAAACAGTCTGAAATGGGACTTCCCAATTTACAGTTTTCATGAACATAAAAATCATTGAGTTCTTTCTTAAAGGCTCTAAGTTTCGGATTCTCAGTCAAATACTTTCACCTCAAATCATTCCCACTCATTGGAGAAGTCTCTATGGTAAAGTCAATTTAATATTTCAGAGGAAGACATTGTGGACTAAGCCTGGATCTAAGCATTCTTTTACCAGCCCTTCTATATGTAGAGATGAATAGTTGCTGAAAGAAATAGGAAATGTGCTGTTACTTTGATTAAATAGAAAACCGGATTGGGAAAATATATGGGAAAAACTGATAAAACTAGGGGGAAACATGGGATTTTATTTGAAATGTCATCAATATTGTGTAAGCCTCAAATTTTAAAAAGGAGGGATGAAAGTGTGCAGAATTACCTCATAAAGGAAAGATTGTATAGTATAATTTACAGCTTCAGATGAAATGAGGGACATTTAAGGAGTAAAGTAACCTTTGCTATTAAGCAAAAGAGCAATAACTTTCACTTGAAATATATACTTTTATTTTCTAATATTAATTGCTCTTGATCAGCATCTGCTGCCTATCAGACCATTTTTAATTCTCATAGCAGCTGTATAGACTCTTAGAACTTTCCAGACTAGAAACATAGGTATAGGAAAAGAAACAATTTACTTTAGAACAGGCAGTAAATATGGAGCTAAGGTTGGACAAAAACCCTACAGTCTGAGAGGAGAGTGCAAGGATGAGATTAGAATTTTCCAGTGGCTATCCCAAAAAGGTCTATGAGTCATGCAATGCTTCAAGGCATGGGAGGCAAAGGGAGGTAGTAATAAGTCAACATCTCACTTGTATATAGGGATACCTAGGTCCCCAAATATCGAATTTATTTTATCTATAATGAGACAGTCTTAGACAGCATGTGCAAATTTTCCAGTACTCTGCTGCTAGTTGCAGAAAAGGATCTCTAAGGTTTGAACCCTCATATGACACCAGAGCCTATGTTTTCTCTACGCATCTGCAATTAGCAGACTTCATTACCAACCATAGATGGCATGATTCCTGACAGGTCCAAAGTGCACAATCTAATGTGGACAGAGTTCTGCAGAACTATTTCTGCAATTTAGAAAATGAAACAATCATATTGTGTCTGTGTTTTAGAATATCTGATTGACTACTGAAGAAAATATCTGGGGAGGTAGCAATGAAGAAATGGTTTGATCAGAGGTGCTAAAATCTGTGTATAAACATGAAAACAAATATTTGGGTTTCCTTTCCTAAAAATCACTTTTCATTAGTAACTATTGAATGCAGCATCAGGGATAGGTAATGTGCTTGTGTGGAAGCAAGGAACAAAGCACGCATGAGAAGTGGATGGCCAAGGGTTATAGCCAAAATTGTTAAGGTCTCAGAAAGTATTTTATCTTTCCAGACTCATGGGGAGATAAATGGAATTGTGTTTAACCTAGGAAATGTGACTTGCTCTACTAAGATACTACATCTTTTGAATAAAAAGAATAGAGGCATATTAGACTTTTAGGTATTTTAAGAAAGTTTAAATTCTAGGATTTGTAGTGAAGTGGCTAGCATGTAAATTAGATCTTATCTTTAGGATTCCCAGAAATATTTTGTGAACAAATCCTTTTGTTTCTCGAACATTTCTGAATTCCAACTTGGAAGAAAATTCTGTGACAAATGACTTTCTCACCACATGAATATTTTGGTTCTTCTCATGACTTAGTGCCAAAAGTTATAAAAAGATTTATAATTAAAGGTAATTGATAAGCCCAACTCTCTGCTTTCAACATTAGCAATTTTTAAAAATTTTTAATGTTAAAATTTACCTAACTAGAATCCCTTTACTAAATTTTTTCTCTCAAAACATCTTTTAGCAGTAGTAGTTAAATAAAAGAAACACTTTCTCTTTGTTTTGTGTGTCAAGATAATAATCAAGAATCAAAGCAAAGCTTAGCTGAAACAGAATTCCAATGTTAATAATTGGGAGGTCAAATGTAAAATCAGATCAAATCATTATGCTCATGGATGGCATCTTTTCTTAATTCTTAGTTAGAAGAAAACACTAGGTAGTAGGCACTTCTAGCTGAGTGTGGAAATGGAGGACAAGCTGGCAGTATATAAATGAACGAGAAAACAGTACAAGCTCAGCCTGCTGACATCTGCTGCTTTTGCAGAATGGATTGGACTCTGTAATGCTGGGTGAAAACAAATGTTTTCTTCTGCCTTCCTCCTGTTCCACAGTTGTTGTTGAGTGATGGCCTTATTCTTTTTGTATTCACAGATTAAAATTAAAAACAGCATCTGAATTTGAAATAGGTCCCAATGAATAGCAAATAGGCCCTAAATGAGCTGAAAAAGTTAGTAATGAAGCCTATGAATAGGAAAGGTCATGAATAAATAGCATTTTTGAAAGGCAGCTTTACCTCAGGATGATGTCCAACTTCAATATAGGTGCAAACTGGATGGAAAGCTCCAGTTCCACAGGCGTACAAATGAGTCTGATTATAAGCCTTCAGGACCTTGATGAAGTTAGCACATTCTTTCTGCAAAATAAAAGACAAGCAGTGAGCTCTAGCAGTTGGCCTGACTGAGGTACTGTCTAAGGTGCTGGGTGTCTTGGATCATTCATCCCTTTCTCAACTATTTCAGGTCTTATTTACCATTGCATTGTTTTACACCTATTATTGCATGTATTAAAAATATAAACTTTTACCAAGTGCTGTTGCTCATGCCTGTATTCCTAGCTTCTTAGGAAGGCTGACATTTGAGGATAATACATCAAAGTCAAGGAAGAAAAAGTCCACACACACACACACACACACACACACACACACACACACACACATTTTCCTTATTCTTGGGGATGTAACAAAATGATATTGAATGATATGATGTTCCATTACTCTTCACTAAAACTATTTGTACACGAGTTGAATAAAATTTCCAGATAATCAATAAGATGATTTTTCTAGACATGAGGAGAGAAGCAAAGTTTTTACACAATAAATTACCTAAACAAGATAATGATAAAAAGTTTCCCTACAAAAATTAGTGATGAGTTTTAGGAAAGAAACAAAAATGACAGTTAACAGGAAAACCAAACATTATTAGTTATTTGTTCAATTTTCAAATAGGTATTCACATTCTACATAGCATGAAGTGAATTTTTTTCTCTTGATTTGCTATTAGACTTCCTTAAGTTTTATTTTTGTTTGCCTGTAAATATTTGATAAAGAAGCAAATCTGTAACTGTAAATAAAGGTAAACATGCAGAGAAGACTGGAACATAAATGAGACAGACAAACCTTATCAGAGAACTGGGTCAGTCAGGAAGTTTGTGACTGTTCTAAGTCTGTAAAGTATTCTCTATGACCTTTGACTTCTCAGGTGTCTAGTCAGAGTGTATTTGCACCTATGTAGTCAGTTGGAGTTTATAACTGAAGTGTTATAATCATTTGAGTACATTTCCACATGAGTTTTGTATTCTGTCTTTGCAGCTGATGATTTTGTTCGTAACTCCACTGGCCCATAAAATAAAAACCAGACAACCAAACTTATGCAGAATAATTGACATTTAAATTCAAGGAACTGCTTTTCAGCAGAACTTATCTTTCTAAGACTAAATAGATTCATATCCTTTGACTATATAAAGAAGAATTAGTTCTACTTAAAGTATAATATGAAAATCTCAATTTATGATATCTCCTTTCTTAACATAAGTAATTTATATGGGAAGAGGTAACTAGAATTTATATTTTTTCTACTGTTCTATCAAAAAATCCCAAATGTTTCTTTTGTCGGTTAAAGCATTATAACAATTAAAATTATGCCCTCAATCCTGATGACTACAAGTTGTTCTATATGATGAAAAATTCCATAGCTCTAATTATGTACATATCCCCTTCATTTCTCACATCGAAGAGGTTACAGTTTAGGTAAAATGATGCAACGAATAAAACTTAACTTTCACTACTCTTAGGAACTCTTCATTCTCTTACATTCCTCCTCCTTCCCCTGGAGGATAGGGCATGAATGTTTGGGCAGAGGAAGGAACTTGCGGAAGGACGGGAAACATCTGATAAACTCATTTATAAATGAGGCATTCATGAATCTAACCCGAAGGATACATTTGTACTCTTTTCGAAATTCAATCACGTGTAAAGAAGCCATTTTTCAGGAATATTTTACTTTGAAACATGTAGGTGGTCACACATTTTGTTTTCACATAAAGACAATCATCTCTCATTGTGGGCTCCATATTGAAGTGTACAAGATGATAAATAGCAAGTTCCAGCACCGTATGTCAAAACCATGATATTGGCTGTGTGTATCTTGGTAAGCAAACGGATATTCTAATAAATATAAAAGTGGCAGACCCAGATGGATGTCTTGTTCATTTTAGAAAAGAATAGGACTTTAGCTTGCTACCATGCATGTCATGATGTGCATGCCATTTTATACACCATTCCAATTTCTCTAGCTCTATCGGTGACACCTGAGTGCCTCCTAAAAAATTTAATAACAGAACACGGTTCTGCATAATAATAAAAGAAAATAATATATATGTATAAGAACTTCAAAACAATGGAATGCTCATGCCACCTCTGAAAACGTTATAGATATTATGAGCCTTTCAGTTCTAATAGATTAGATAGCTAATTAGCAATTTATCAGTGACTAAGTCTGTCCTTTCAAGGAAACTTAGCAGATTATAATTAATGCACAGAAACTCTCCAAGCTTTTGAGAGCCACAAAATTGGACCACACTGAACATCAAACTTCCAATTTGTTCTCTATTAACAGTTATAAAAAGAACCACTATACTATGACAACTATTCTTCTCCAGAGCCTTTGGAACAAAATCAATCACCAGACTATAGCTGTGAAACCTGGCAAAGGGCTCCACTGAGAATGCTGATAACAAGAGAGTCTATCTGTGTTACAAAGCAACTAGGCCCACCCTATTGGCCTAAGGCCTGGAATGATCTCCTTTCCGAGTTGGCAGCAAGTTGTTTAGCTGCCATGCCCCTGGGCTACCTCAATATTATTTTGAAAGTGAACGCTGATGAAAATAAAGTGGGGAGCAATTCTGTGGGCTTCCAGGGTGAAAAGATGTTGAAAGGGAACAAAAGTATGGAAGGAAATACTTTCAAAATGGGTTAAAAATAGCTGAGAGAAGAATTCTCTGCCACAATGGAAGAGGAAAGGGAATTGAATGGACTGGACAGAGAAGGACCCAAAACTTGAAAGAGACATGTTATTAAGGATTTGTTCTTAACAGAAAGCCTACACAAAAGAGTATCAATCCTTTCATTCATCTGCCTTTACTTTCTGGTTTATGGCTGCCAAGGTTTTTTGAGTGTTCCCAAACAGGATATTCATTTCATTTGGAAGCAGCTTGGACCTTCCTCTAAAAAAGAAGGAAACGTGGCAGCAAAAGGAAACACACTTCACACATTTCTGCTCTGGGGAGACAGAAGAAGAGTGTTTCTGACCTTTGCTTGAACCATGACGTTTCTTAAAACTCAGAATGTAATGTACTTTTTGGCATTAAACTACTGCTCTGCTTTGCTCAGCTCTAGTGGATTTACAATGTAATGAAGACAGTGTAATCAGTTTGAAATGAATTCATTATTCAAGCCTCATTTCTTTCTGGAATATACGTTGGTATACATAAGATGAGCTTAACAACAAGTCTGCTTCTGGAAGCCAGGCAAACTTACCTCTCATTTTACTGAAATTTATTCCACATCAACAAGACTGTGGTGTTATTAGTTTAGAAGTAAAGGTAAAAGCAATTATAATCCAGTAAAATCTAAGGCCACACCTGAGAAGTATTGATCATCTTCCTTATTGACAAACCTGCTATACTTCCTTTTTAAGGGTTTCTAGTCTAAGTCTAGTGAGTAGTGGAAGTATTCATGAAAATATTAGCCTGAAGAAATAAATTTAAGGGAGTATCTATCACCAGAAGAAAATATAGATACACAAGAGCCAAATGCACACTGATTCAAAAACAAACATTGCAGATATCTAGTGATGATTAAACTGTGTTACACAGACTTTTCCTGGATGGTTACAAAAATAAAGTCCATCCATCTGTCAAAACAACTGCTCCATGCATGAAAATTAAAACAGAATTCGAGGTGTTTTTAACTAACTTCCGATTATTATATGCTTTCTACAAAAAGAAGATAATTTTACCTCCAATTTCAATTACCTCCTTGCCTATTCTTAAATTATGGATAGAACGATGAAAATTTACTCTAAACAAAGAAGAGGAAGATAGGAGAAAAGATTGTGAACAAGAACATTTGTATTTACATGCATTCAAGTTCAAGATTAATCCAACAATTTGTACTGGTTCAAATATAATTTGACCCTAAATGAATGGGCATAGAACTGCATTGCCTCAGGTCAGTGAGAATTCATTTTAAAAGAAGAAAAAAAAGTTTTTAGCTCATCAGTAGTTCCTATAGAAATAGTTGAACATCATATCAGCAGCTGGGAAAGCAAAGGGAACCTTTTCTATTATGAGTAGATACATTTCTGCATGAAAATCCATTAATAGGCTTAATTCCTGTAGTTAATCTGTTGACTTTTTCCCCCCCTCTAGCCAATTTATTTGGCAAGCTAGCTGAATACTTGAATCTTCATGCCAAACCAGTAATCCATGAGATTCTTCCTGTCACTCATTTTATCTTTCCCTCTATTTAATTTGTATCATACTTATTTGACAATAATGTTTTCGTTTTTGTCTTTGCAATGTGCTGTTACAGCTTTGATCTGACCATTCAAAATCATGTATTCCTAATATTTCATCATTCACTAAAGATTATTAGAAATCTCTTCTTCAAAGAGATCTGTCTACTAAAACTAACATACAGTCCATTTATAATGATCACATTGTCCATCTCTTGTTGAATATTTGATGTGGGATTGTTTTGGGACAGGGTCTTGAACTTTAACCCAGTCTAGCCAAGGACTACAGATCATCCCAATTTCTGGGATTATAGGTAGGTGTGATGACACTTTTTTTTAGTGTCTGCCTTTTTAATGTCTTCCTTTAGTCAGTAAGATGTTTTGTCCGTTTTGGAAGATATTTTTACCTTTGTTATTTGGAAATCATGGCATAAAAGAATCTTCATTGTTTCCTAACTTAATTTCAGAAACTTAAATATTACTAATAGAACTAAAGTTACTGTCATTTCATAGGTAGTTAAGTCTGTAAGCGTATTCATATTGACTTAATTGCATTACTATTATCCTTATAATTCAAAATAAATTTTAAAATGTTTTGAATGATATAAAAAACTAAATTAAGACTCTACAAGACCAAATCATTTACTTAAATACTCATTTCATTGCTTGAATTATGTTTCCCCCCTCCAATATAAAAATATTGTTTCGAGCCAGGCGTTGGTGGCTCACCGGCTACTTTTTGGCTACTCAGGAGGCTGAGATCTGAGCATCATGGTTCAAAGCCATCCCTGGCAGGAAAGTCTGTGAGATTCTTAACTCCAATAAACTACTAGAAAACTGG